AGAGGGAAGGAAATAATAAACATCAGAGCAGAAATAAATGAAATAGAAACTAAAAAAACAATAGAACAGATCAATGAAACCAGAAGGTGGTTCTTTGAGAAGATCAATAAAATTGACAAACCTTTAGCCAGACTCATCAAAAGAGAGAGAGAGAGAGAGAAAGAGTACTGAAATAAACAAAATTGGAAATGAAAGAGGAGAAATAACAACCGACAGCACAGAAATACAAAGGATTGTAAGAGAATATTATGAAAAATTATATGCCAACAAATTGGACAACCTAGAAGTGGATAAATTCCTAGAAACATATAACTTCCCAAAACCAAATCAATAAGAAATAGAAAATTTGAACAGACCAATTACCAGCAATGAAATTGAATCAGTAATCAAAAAACTCCCGACAAACAAAAGTCCAGGACCAGATGGCTTCATAGGGGAACTCTACCAAACATTTAAAGAGTTAGTACCCATTCTTCTCAAACTTTTCCAAAAAATTTAAGAGGAAGGAAAGCTTCCAAATTCATACTATGAGGCCAGCAATACCCTGATACCAAAATCAGATAAAGACACCACAAAAAAAAGAGAACTATAGGCCAATATCTCTAATGAACATAAGTGCAAAAATCCTCAAGAAAATATAAGCAAACAGAATCCAACAGTACATCAGAAAAATCATTCACCACAATCAAGTGGGATTTATTCCTGGGATGCAAGAGTAGTTCAATATTCATAAATCAATCAACGTGATAAATCACATCTACAAAGAAAGGATAAAGACCATATTATCGGGTGCCTGGGTGGCTCAGTCGGTTAAGCGTCTGCCTTCAGCTCAGGTCATGATCCCAGAGTCCTAGGATAGAGTCCCACATTGGGCTCTCTGCTCAGTGGGGAGTCTGCTTCTCCCTCTCCCTGTGCCCCTCCCCTCTGATCATGCTCTCTCTCTCACACACGCTCTCTCTCTCAAAATAAATAAATAAAATATTTTTTAAAAAGACCATATTATCATTTCAGTAGATGCAGAAAAAGCATTTGACAAAGTACAACATTCATTCATCATAAAAACCCTCAACAAAGTAGGGTTTAGAAGGAACATACCTCAACATGATAAAGGGCATATATGAAAAACCCATAGCTAACATCATACTCAATGGTGAAACACTGAGAGCTTTCCCCCTAAGATCAGGAAAAAGACAAGGATGTTCACTCTCCCTCCTCTTATTCAACATACTACTGGAAGCCCTAGCCACAGCAATCAGATGAGAAAAAGAAATAAAAGGCATCCAAATTGGTAAGGAAGAAGTAAAACTTTCACTATTTGCAGATGACATGATACTATATATGTCGAAACCCCTAAAGATTCTATCAAAAAACAATTGGAACTAATAAATGAATTCAGTAAGGTTGCAGGATACAAAATCAATGTATAGAAATCTGTTGTATTTCTATACACTAATAATGAAGCAGCAGAAAGAGAAGTTAAGAAAACAATCCCATTTGCAATTTCACCAAAAACAATAAAATACCTAGGATTAAACTTAACCAAGGAAGTGAAAGACCTATACTCTGAAAACTATAAAATATTGATGAAAGAAATTGAAGATGACACAAACAAACAAATGGAAAGATATTCCATTCTCATGGATTGGAAGAATATTATAAAAATGTCCAAAGCAATCTAGAGATTAAATGTAACCCCTATCAAAATATCAACAGCATTTTTCACAGAACTAGAAGGAATAATCCTAAAATTTGTATGGAACCACAAAAGACCCAGAATAGCCAAAGCAATGTTGAAAAAGAACAAAACTGGAGGTATTACAATCCCAGATTTCAAAATATACTAAAAAGCTGTAGTAAACAAAACAGTATGGTACTGGCACAAAAATAGACACAGAGCAATAGAACACAATAGACAGCCGAGAAATAAACCCATGATTATATGGTCAATTAATCTTTGACAAAGGAGGTAAGAATATGCAATGGGAAAAAGTCCCTTCAACAAATGGTGCTGGGAAAACTGGACAGCTACATGTAAAAAAATGAAACTAGAGTACTTTCTTACATCACACACAAAAATAAACTTAAAATGGATTAAGGACCTAAATGTGAGACCTAAAACCATAAAAATCCTAGAAGAGAGCACAGATAGTAATTTCTCTGACAAATACATAGAGGTTAAATAACATGCTACTAAACAATGAATGGGCCATTGCAACATTTCTTTAGGTATGTCTCCTGAGGCAAGGGAAATGAAAACAAAAATAAACTATTGGGACTATATAAAAATAAAAAGTTTCTGCACAGCAAAGGAAACAATCAACAAAACAAAAAGACAACCTGCTGAATTGGAGAAGATATTTGCAAATGATATATCTGATAAAGGGTTAGTATCCAAAATATATGAAGAACTTACATAACTCAACACCAGAATAACAAATAATCCAATTTAAAAATGGGTAGAAGATATGAACAGACATTTCTCCAAAGAAGACACAGCTATGACCAACAGACACATGAAAAGATGCTCAACATCACTAATCATTAGGGAAATGCAAATCAAAACCACAATGAGATAACACCTCATACCTGTCAGTTGGCTAAAATCCCAAACACCAGAAACGACAAGTGTTTTGGTGAGGATGTGGAGAAAAAGGAACCCTCATGTACTGTTTATGGGAATGCAAACTAGGGCAATCACTGTGGAAAACAGTATGGGGGTTCCTCAAAAAATTAAAAATAGAACTACCCTATGATCCAGTAATTCCACTCCTGGGTATTTTCCCAAAGAATATGAAAACACCAATTCAAAATGATATATGCACCCCTATGTGTACAGCAGCATTATTTACAATAGCCAAATTATGGAAGCAATCCAAGTGTTTATTGATAGATGAATGGATAAAGAAGTGTGTGTGTGTGTGTGTGTAATGGAATATTACTTAGCCATAAAAAAGAATGAAATCTTGCCATTTGCAACAACATGGATGGATCTAGAGAGTATAATGGTAAGTGAAATAAGTCAGTCAGAGAAAGACAAATACCATACAATTTCACTCAGAAGTGAAATTTAAAAACAAAATGAAGAAAAAGAAGAGAAAAACCAAAAAACAGACTCTTAACTATACAGAACAAACTGATAGTTACCAGAGGGGAGGTGGGTGGGGGGATGGGTAAAATAGGTGATGGGGATTAAGAGTACACTTGTCATGATGAGCACCAAGTAATGTATAGAATTGTTGAATCACTATATTGTACACCTGAAACTAATATAACACTCCATGTTAACTATACCGGAATTAAAAAAAAAAATCAAGTCATACACCTTAAATATACACAATTTTTATTCATCAATTTTATCTCAATAAAGATGGAAAAAAGTTTTCCTGTATAATATGAATAGAACCCCTCCTTTGGAATTTTACAAATTATTTTATTAAAAAATCAAATTGTTTTTGAAATTGTTTCTGGAATGTTCAACTGACATTTCTTTGAAAAGAGCACTATATTAAGACTGGGCCATGGTACAGCTCAGCTTTATGTATGTTATACATACAACCATTATTTATTTAAAAATAATTGATAAAATCCCCTCCTTTGCTCAGTTCTAGGGGAAGTGGGAAGTACCATATAGTTGTTAATAGTCTGTATACACAGATACCATAAGAATTAAGGAATCCTTTTATAGCTTTATGTCAGGACTCATCCAGATGATAGATTTAACTACCAGAAATCCAGTGATTTCCTCTAATAAAGTACTCTGTGGTTCCTTCCTCTTTCTTAATTCATCTTTTTCCTCTTCTTCTCAAATAAAATCTAAAAATAGTTTTAAGTGCAAATGAAGTTGAGATCCTAGGCAGAAAATTATATTATAAATATAAACTTGGGGTTTAAAATTTATGTTAAACGATGCCAATCACATTCTAGATTAGATGTGGAAAGTATATATTAGTGTGCTGATGAAAGCATATTCAATATGCCTTTTTGGTATTTCTGTGAGTGTCAATTGTGACATTACCAGATGTCATGCACTTAGATCATCTTATACAAATGAAAACCATTACTGGAATTATTACCTACCTGCTAAAATTCTTGTATTTTTCACATTCTTGTCTAATTCATCTTTACACAGTTGTCTGAAATGACTGTTTTCAATGGTATTTCTTTTCTGTTTAAAATATCTGTGGATAACACCTCAATCACAATGAGCATATCTAGTGCCTGGATTATACCCCACTAAGAAGAACCAGAGCTCCTTGAAAAAGTGGATGATTTTAGTCTGGAGTAGAGAAAGTATAAGGTGGTCTTGAAATATCTTGTGCCAGAAAATACAGAAGTGCTCAAAAACTGATGGGGTCATGTAAAAGGAAGGCAGAAGCCAGCTTGAAAGGGCTCCCACTTGATAAATATGGAACAATTTGAGTATCAAAATGAATAAGGAACTGGAATTGATTATAACACCTTGAACAACAAAAAAAATTCAAACTGACACTATTCAGTAAAAAAACAATTAAGGGCACGGTGCCTGGGTGGCTCAGTCAGTTAAGTGTCTGCCTTTGGCTCAGGTCATGATCTCGGGGTCCTGGGATTGACCTGGGTCAGGCTCCCTGCTCAGTGGGGAGTCTGCTTCTCCCTCTCCTTCTGCCCCTCCCCCTGCTCATGCCCTCTCTCTTTCTCTGTCGCACTCTCTCTCACATAAATAAATAAATAAATAAATAAATAAATAAATAAAATCTTTTTAAAAAATTAAGGGTGAGGAAGAAATGATGGAAAAGGTGTTTACAGAATAATGTCAATTCATAAATGTGGGATTGTTGCAATTAGAAAACCAATATTTTGCAATCACCATTGTAATACCTGATTCAGGCAACAATCATCAAGAGATGTAAAATCAGTAAGTGAAAGGTTGGTAGGGAAGAATATATCATCCAGTCTCAAAGGACCCATAGTTATAATTACAACGAGAAAAGGAAAAAAAGAGAATAAATGAGAAAAAAAGGTACCTTTATAAATGTAGAAGTCTGGTGGAAATCACTTGAATCAAATGTTCAAACTTAATGTCACCAAAATGGAAAAAATGACATCGTGTTTTCTATGATGTAACACACTGAGGACACAAATCACCCATGAAGTATTCCTGTAAAAAAAAAAAAGGATTCTGATCATAAGGTAGTAATTGTGCAAACTAAATTCAGGAACATTATGCAAAATAGTTGACCTGGACACTTCAAAAAATGTCAATGTAATAAAAGAAAAGTGCAGAAATTATCTTTAAAGAAAGTAAAGGGACATGACAACTAAATGCAATGTGCAAACTTTAATTGGATCTTGGATTTTTTTTTAAAAAAAGTATAAAAGACAATGTGGTTATTAGTCCAACTGAAGAAATATTAGTATGGAATGCATATTAGATAACAGTAACATATCAACGTTCAATTTCCTGAGTGTGGTAATTTTCTTGAGTGTGACAAATGTATTATAGTTATTTTTCGTAAGAAAAATATGCTTTAAGTATGTATGGGGAAAATGTCAAGAAGTTTGAAACTTACATTTAAATCTCTTGGATCTTTCACAAAAAAGTGTGTGTGTACACACATGTGGGCATAAGTGCTTACACAGAAACACATTTAAATAGAAAACAAATTTGCAAAATGTTAATAACTAGTGAATCTAGGTAAAGGGTATGTGGGTGTCCATTATACTAGTTTTATAACTTTTCTGTAGCATTAACAGTTTTCAAAATAAAAAAAGTTAGGAAATGAAAATAACATGGAAAAAAAATTAAATTAAAAAAATACGTTGAGCCAAAGATAAAATGCAAGAGACAAAGTTGGGATGAGCAAAGTTAGAAGTAGAGTAAGGATAAAAAGTTTAAATCTATGACCTCTCATGGCTCTATTCTTATGAGTCCACCCTGCTGCCTCAGAATATTCTATCATATGCTACATATCCTTCACATTAGGAACCAAACACCTATGGAATAATGTTAGAATCATAAGCTCTTGACCTTGTGTCAGAAGAAAAAGGTGTATGAGAAATTCAAACATTCTATAGCTTCAATGCTTCATGTCATCTTTCCTACAGACAGGGTTGCCAGGCCCTTCTTGTTTGAAGGACTGACTAAATTTTATTCTCCTTGGCTGTAGGTTTATCATAGTGATAAGACCATTAGTTCCCAGAGGCTGGAAGAAGAGCTAGATGCTAGAAATTCCAGTCACTTGTATTTTTTTAAGACTTTATTTATTTATTTGGGAGTGAGCACGAGCAGGGGGAGAGCAGAGGGAGAGGGAGGAGACTCCCTGCTGAGCAGGGAGCCTGACGTGGGGCTCCATCCCAAGACCCTGGGATCATGACCTGAGCAGAAGGGAGACCCTTAACTGACTGAGCCACCCAGGCGCCCGCCAGCAATTCCAGTCACTTTGAAATGCATTTTTAAAAGTAAGAGAAAAATGTTTATCTAGTTTGTAAGGCTTCTGCCCTATAATATTTATGTGAACCTTTTCTGGTCATATTCTCTGACTCCTCTCTCTTCCCTCATGGTTTTCCCGTCCTAGTGACCTCACTGAAAGCTACTGTTGATTCTTTATGTGTGTTGCCTATGAAAATGCGTGCGTATTCACTCCTTCCTCATTCTTTTACTCATTATTTATTCATCCATCACAATTACTTATTTATGTAGGTCACTTTATCTTATATATTTTTTAATTTATTTTTAGCTCACTTTATTTTAAATGATAGTTTTACAAATGTTTAAGCAGATGAGCATTTATACTCTAAAGGGCAGGAGAGATGAACAAGAGACACAAAATGTACCAGAGACAGCTGGATTGGAAAAGAAAGATTAACACAGGCCTGGACTCTCTTCTTGTATCTCCATCATCATCTACCTTTTTTTTTCATTTTAGGAACTGTCCTGATTTCCTGTTTTCAATGGCCCTTTACTATTTTAAATACCCTTGTGATTGTTTTGGACTCTACTACCTAGAAAACGAAGCAAGGTTTGTTTGCTGTTTCCAAGCAGTAACCACAACGGCTATAAAACATGGTTAGCCTGACCAAATTGGAGACAGGGGTCTAAGAATAATAGATCCAGACTAAGCCAGGCCTCTGAATGGCCATCCAGTTTTTACTGAGCATCTACTATTTATCAGGCACTATTTTTGGAAGTGGAGGCAAAGACTGACTGAGACACAATCCTAACTTAGTGGTTCAAAGTATTCCATGTCAGGTTCACTCTAGTCTCATCTGAAGGATACTGGGCAGAAGATGGTGCCCACCACATGGATATGAGTGCATCATTTCTGAATTTTATTCAGATGCTAATAACAAACATTCAATAAAGGGTGGTTTAAATAGATTGGGAGGTTATTTGTCTTTTTTGCAGGCAGGGGTAAGTAATTGAGTGGTGGCTTGACAAGTCCATGAACTCATCCAAGTCCCAAGATTCTTCTATCTTGCTGCTTTGCCCTTTTTAGCACACAACTTCTACCCTAAAGTTTGCCTCATGGTTGCAAGGTAGCCACTGCAAGTTTGGCCATTGTGTCTGCATTCCAGGCTGTGGTAAAGAGGAAGACAGAAAAGGGGCTGAAGGCTACTTTCCAGGTGAGTCAAACCCCTTTTAAAAGAGCTTTCTCAAAATCTCACCCAAAACTTTTGCCTCTACCTCATTAGCCAAAACTTAGTCATTTGGCCACCCATATCTATAAAGAAAGATCTCAACAACAAATAATCAAGAGTACTGTCAGTACTTACTCATTTGTAAGTACAAGTGTAGATACTTATTATATTGGCTTGTCTTTTCAATTGGGCCCTGGTACTTTCTAAGTTAATTTTTCTTGTTTTTTTTCATCACCCAATTATCTAAAACGACCATCCTTCACTTAAAATACATAGTTGTTAAAATTCTGACTAAGGAAGAGGGATAGTCAAATGATGTCCTGAATAAAAGAGTTGAATTAATGGTAGGGCAAAGGAAGGGGACTCTCACATAAGAGGCCCCTAATTCTGTCCCTGCTCACTTCTGCTGCCACCACTCAAGGGTATAAAGATATCTTCTCTTTATGCTGTTAGGAACACAACCTTTTGTAGGCTTAACCTTTAGCACTTGCTTGAAGTACTGAATAATGATAATAGGAGTTGGAAAGCCTTAAAAGCAGGGCTGAGGCTTCCCTGAGACAAATAAGAAATTCCACCTGTGGACAACAGCTTGACCTGTGCCCATGGAGTTCCACCCTGTTTGTGATCTTACCTTCCTAACTGAATGCCCTAGGGCACAAAGATATTACAGCATATTTATCATCAGAAACAATGCAAGGAAGACAACAATGGAACGTCTTTAAAGTAGTAAAAGAGGGGCACCTGAGTGGCTCAGTCGTTAAGCATCTGCCTTCGGCTCAGGTCATGATCCCAGGGTCCTGGGATCGAGCCCCGCATTGGGCTCCTGCTCAGCAGGAAGCCTGCTTCTCCCTCTCCCACTCCCCCTGCTTGTGTTCCCTCTCTGGCTGTGTCTCTCTCTGTCAAATAAATAAATAAAAATCTTTAAAAAAAAATGAAAATAAAGTACTGAAAGAAAAAGTCAACATAAGATTCTATACATAGGAAAAAAAGGATTTCAAAAACAAAGATAAAACAAGACTTTTTCAGACTTAACAAAAGGCGAAAGAATTCATCGCCAGCAGACCATCATTATAAGAAATATTAAAGGGAATTCTTTAGGCCAAAGGAAAATGCTACTAAAAGGAAATATGGATCTATGCAAAGGAAGGAAGAGCACTGGAAATAGTAACTACATGGGTAAATGTCTAATATTTTTCTTATTCTTTAAATATATTGAAAAGACATTTGACTATATAAACAGAAATAATTAACAATGTAGTATAGGGTTTATAATATATGTAAAAGCAAAATGCAGGACAACAATAACACGAAGTCCAGGAGGGGAGAAATGTAAATATACTATTGTAGGTGTCTTAAACTATGCATGAGGTAGTATAACAGTACTAGAAAGTTGACTGTGTCAAATTAAAAATGTATACCTAAACCCAAAAGCAACCACCAAAACAACACAACAAAGAGTTATAACAATACGGGGAAAAGGAGATAAAATTAAATAATAAAAAACACTCAATTTGTTCCCACTTTGGTCAGTGGTAGCTCTTTCAGGTTGGTTGTCACTTTGACATGCCCTCATCTTTTTGGGTTTTTTTGAGCACTTTCTTATTTTCTGATACTACAAGATGCTCTCCTCCTTGGTCCTAAAATCAGCTGTTCCTCTAACAATCCCTGGTTCCTTTTATTGGCGACTGTATTTAGAAACCAAAATCTGGGTCCTGACTGTGCTTGTTGCTTTTGGGTGTCATTGTTTCTAGGCCCTCTCAATGGATAGAGCTAAGTAATATATGTATGGATACTAACCCACATGTACACACATATCTATAATTCTTTTTTTCTATCTATCTATATTAAGCTAAATGTAAGTTCATACTTTATGTCTCTGACTCTAATCCGGTATCACAGGGTTTATCCTTGCTTTCTTTTCTTGTTTACCTGTAACTTTCCTCTCACAGTGAGCACCTTGAACATACCATCCACCATCCATTTACTTGTTTAACACCACTGTAATGTAAAGTGATGTGAAAAATTATATCCATACGAAATCCTGTACACAAATGTTTATAGCAGCTTTATACATTTTGGCTAACAACTGGAAGCAAGGAAGATGTCTTTTATCAGGGGAAAGAATAAACAAACTCTGGTGCATCCATATAATGAAATCCTATGCAGCAGTAAAAAGAAATGAGCTGCTGATTCATTCATCAACATGGATGAATCTTAAGTGCATTCTACTTAGTGAAAGAAGGCAGAAAACAAAAGCTACATATTGGATACATTGTATGATTCCATTCATATGACACCTGGAAAGGGCAAAACTATAGGAACAAAACAATTAGTGGTTGCCAGGGGTTAAGAAGACCCACGTGGTTGACTATAAAGGGGATGCACAAGAGAACTTTTAGGGTGAATAAATTGTTTTGTATGGTGTTGGAGTGATGGATATATTACTACCTGTGAACTGTATAGAATCCATAGAACTATATATTATAAAGAGTGGATTCTAATGTATGCAATTTTTTTAAA